GACGGTTTGCCCGAATGCTTCGATTGCCCGGCGGGCTCGTCGTGCGGCGGCGGCGCGGCGCCGCCGGCAGAGTGTTCGCCGGGCTCCGTTACCGCCACGCCTGGCCTCTCCAAGTGCGAGCGCTGTGAGCCTGGCACATTTTCCCTCGCCGGCAGCCAGTCGTGCAGCGAGTGCGTTGCAGGCACTTACGCCGCCAACCCCGGCCAGGGCCAGTGTGTCCCTTGCCCCCATCCCCTCGATAGCGGCAGCGGCGACGTCACCTGCTCCATCTGCAAGGAGGGCTTCTACCTGCAGGACGCGAGCGCCCTTCCGGACGACATTTTTGAGAACCCGACCGAGCACTGCAAGTCGTGCCCGCCCAACGCCAACTGCAACGCCGGCACCGCTCTCGCGTCCCTCGGCGTGGACGTCGGCTACTGGCGCGCCTCCAACGCCACCTCGGAGCTCCACCGCTGCGACTCAGAGACGTGCTCTGGTGGCTCCGGCCAGCCCTCGAGCCGCCGCCGCCTCACCGACGGAGATGACGACCCCTACTGCACCGCCGGCCACACCGGCCCGCTCTGCGAGGTCTGCGTCGTGGACTCGGACTACTATAGCTCTGCCGAGGGGCGTTGCGTCGCCTGCCCCTCGACGGCTCGCTCCGCCGGCGTCTTTGTCGGCTTTGCCGTCCTCATCGCTGTGCTCGCCGCCTCCTACGCTGCGCTCCGCCACCTCCCTATCTCCCGCCGCCTCCGGAGGCGGGCCGCCCGCATCGAGTCCGCGGTCGGCCTGCAGCCCAAGTTCAAGGTCGTCGTCAGCTTCTACCAGGTGAGCAGCACCCTCGGCCTCGTCTACGGCGTCCGCCTCGACGAGCGCTTCACGCGTTGGCTCGACGTGCTCAAGCTGTTCAGCCTGGACTTGTTCGACGTCGCCATCCCCGGCCGCTGCATCGGAGCCATGAGCACGCGGCTGCTCGTCGCGGGCCTCTGGCCGTACGCCGCTGTCGCCTTCGTGTCGCTCGCCATTGTGGCGGTGGCGGCGGTCGTCAATGTCAAGCAGGCTTTCGACCGCAATCTCTTTGGCCGCGTACTCTACTGGGCGATCTTCATCTTCTACCTCGTGCTTCCCTCCGTCTCGCGCTCCATCTTCAGCGCGAGGCTGTGCGAGTCCTTTGGCTACGACGACGCCACTGGCCAGCGCATCAGCTACCTGCTCGCCGACCCGTCGCTCACGTGCGACGATAGCCCGACGTGGGATGACGAGACGAGCGGACTCGCGCCGTACTTTTGGGCCTTCTTCGCCCTCTGGCCCGTCCTCGTGCCGCTCGGCTTCTTGGTGCTGATGCTCCGCGTCCGCAAGTCCGTGGCTGCGCAGCGCGCATCGCCGCTCTCTCGTGCGACGAGCTTCCTCTGGCGGGACTACTCCGCCGGCTTCCTCTTCTGGGAGGTGCTCGACCTGGTCCGCAAGATCTTCCTCACCTCGATGGTGCTCTTCATCGACCAGGAGTATGGCTCCAGGAAGCTGCTGCGCACCGTGGTCGCCGCCATCGTCTCGGCCACGTTTCTCACCCTTCTCGCCCTCGCCCGACCCTACCGGCGCTCCGACGACCTCTGCCTGGCGTGCATCGCCAACTTGCTCCTCACATGCTGCTTCGCGTCGGGGGTGGTCATCCAGGTCCGCGCCCCTGCTGGCACTTCCTCGCCGTCCCTCTCTCCTTTGTCCGCACAACATCACCACACCCGTCCCCCTCGCCGCCGCAGCTCTGCGACAGCACCGAGTACGAAGACATGTGCTACAAGCTCGTTGGCTACAAGACCTCGCGCGGCGCCACCACCTTTGTCGTCGTCCTCACCGCGGTCATGCTCGCCGTCTCGCTAGCCGTCATCCTCGTATCGGCGGTCAGCGCCTCGAGGGCGACGACCATGCGGCTCGTCTCGTCGAAGCGCGAGCCGATGCGCGACGGCATCACCCTCGCCGACAGCCAGGAGTGGCATCTCTTCCTCAGCCACGTTTGGAGCACAGGGCAGGTTTTGCTCACCCCCTTGCCCCACCACTTTGCATGTGCGGAGAAGACCTCGCCTTCCCTCCTTATAGGACGCCGTCGCCGTCATCAAAAACGAGCTCCAGCAGTTCCTCCCCGGCTGCGAGATCTTCCTCGACATCGACGATCTCAGTTGGCGCGGGCGGAGGCCAGGGCGGCGCAGGCGGAGGCTAGGGCGGCGCTGGAGGAGGCAAGGGCGGCGTTGGAGGCAAGGTTGGAGGAGGCCACGGCGGCGCTGGTATGGAGGGAGACAGCGCTCGAGGAGGCGGCGGCTGCTGCAGAGGCGAGGGGTGCCGCTGCGGCCGCGTCGATGGCCAGGGCAGTTGCAGCCAGGATGGCGGCTGATGCGGCCCACGAGCGCTCATAGAGAGAGCCGTGGTGGTGTTCGAGGTGTGTATTAGCTCCGTCCGAGTAGAGGGGGCGCCCCGCCGCTAGGGAAAACCCGACGGCCTTGCACATCTCACTGTGCACTGACATATAGGGAATAGGCTCCCTCCTCCCTGTAGCTGTACGTACCGTGATCCGTGTCTCAGTTGCATTAGATTTTCATAGTACACTACACACGAGACTAAAAGGCGCCCTCGATGTCGATCCAGTCGCCCTCCAGAGCATGCCGTTGCCGCGCGCGCGGCAAAGTCAAACCGCCGACCGAAGGCGTCATGATAGCCGATCTGCATGTGGACCAAGATCATACGCGCGGCGCCAAGCGCCGCGCCGCGCGCGAACGGGCTCCTACTCCGTCTCGCGCGTGATGGCGAAGCCCAGGACGCAATGGCCAAAGTCGAGCGCCGCGATGCCGTTCGTGGCTCCTGCCGAATCGAGGTGGTACCGCTCGTGGATCTCGTAGATCGAGCGGACGAGGAGCGCCGCCCGCGCGCGGGCCGCCGCGGGGAAGAGCGAGTGGCTTGCCGGCGACCACGGCGCCGCCGCCCGCCGAACTAGCGCCGCCGCCTCGCCCGCGCCGCCCGCGGCGCGCCGCAGCGGCGTCGGCTCGCCCTCGTGCAAGCTTGCGCCGCTGCGCAGGAGGGAGGTGGCGCGGGCGGCGGTGAGGGTCTCAAGGTGCGCGAGCGGCGTCCAGCCGCGGCTGGCGACCAGCCAGGCGGCGAGGTCGGCGTGGCCGCGGCTGTTTGCGACCTCCTCGGGCGTGCCGAAGGGCGTAGCGGCGCGAGAGGCGCCGTAGGAGGAGAGGAGCTTGACGACGTCGAGGTGGCCCTGGTGGCTCGCAGCGAACAGCGGCGTGGAGCCGTCGTTGCGGGCTTGGTTGACCGCCGCGCCGGCCTCGAGGAGCAGCTGCACGCACTCGAGCTGGCCCTGCTGGCACGCCATGAACAGCGGCGTGCCGCCGTTGTTGCGGGCTTGGTCGATCGCTGCGCCAGCCTCGAGGAGCAGCCGGGCGATCTCGGGGTGGTTGTTCTGGCACGCGACGTACAGCGGCGTGACGCCGTTCTCATGGGCTTGGTTGACCGCCGCGCCGGCCTCGAGGAGCAGCCGAACGCACTCGAGCTGGCCCTCCTGGCACGCGATGTACAGCGGCGTGACGCCGTTGCCGCAGGCCTGGTCGATCGCTGCGCCAGCCTCGAGGAGCAGCCGGGCGATCTCGACGTGGTTGTTCTGGCTCGCGATGTACAGCGGCGTGGCGCCGTTCTGGTTGGCTTGGTTGATGGCCGCGCCAGCGTCGCACAGCAGCTGGGCGCACTCGAGCTGGCCGTTCTCGCACGCGATGAAGAGCGGCGTGCAACCGTTCTCCTCGGCCTGGTTGATGTCAGCGTCGGCCTCGAAGAGGAGCTGGGCGATCTCGGGGTGGCCCTCCTGGCACGCGATGAACAGCGGCGTGGCGCCGTTCTGCGTGGCTTGGTTGACCGCTGCGCCAGCCTCGACGAGCAGGCGGGCGATCTCGAGGTGGCCCTTGTAGCACGCGACGTACAGCGGCGTGCAGCCTTCAGCGTCTGCATGAGCCACCGCCGCGCCAGCCTCGAGGAGCAGCCGGGCGACCTCGACGTGGCCCTCCTCGCACGCGATGAACAGCGGCGTGGCGCCGTTCTGCGTGGCTTGGTTGATCGCCGCGCCAGCGTCGCGCAGCAGCCGAACGCACTCGAGCTGGCCCTCCTGGCTCGCTATGAACAGCGGCGTGGTACCGCAGTTCATCGCTTGGTTGATGCCAGCGCCAGCGTCGCGCAACAGCCGGGCGATCTCGAGGTGGCCGTCCTCGCACGCCGCGAACAGCGGCGTGGCGCCTTGCTCATCAGCCTGGTTGATCGCAGCGCCAGCCTCGAGGAGCAGCCGAACGCACTCGGGTTGGCCCTCCTGGCTCGCGATGAGCAGCGGCGTGGCGCCGTTCTGCTGGACTTGGTTGACCGCCGCGCCAGCGTCGCGCAGCAGCTGGGCGCACTCGAGGTGGCCGTTCTGGCACGCGATATACAGCGCGGACGCGCCGCCGCCAGTCGTCGCCCCGACGCTCGCGCCGCCCTCGAGCAGCAGCCGCACCGCCTCGGCCTGCCCGTGCCGAGCGGCCCAGGTGAGCAGCGTGTCCTGCGTAACGGTGGTTTGCCGCGCGTCGAGCTGGGCCGCGAGCGACGTGCCGCGCGTCCGCCGCCCGGAGAGGAAGCCGCGCAGCGAGGCAAGGTCGCCCCGAGCCAGGTCGGCGAGCTGGGTTGAGAGGATGGCGCCGCTCATCCTGACCGTTTTCTTCTTCTCGGATCCTCCGCACGCTCCATCGCCTCGGCCGCCTCTGATCAGTCTTTGACCGCGCTGTATCTCCCCAGATCTCGCGCACCTCTGGCACGCCGGAATGGACACCCACGAAAAATAATTCGAACTGCGGCCAAGCCCAAGGTAGGCCCAACAGGCGTGTTTAGCTCGCCTAGGAGATGTACATACCGCCTGGGTCGGCCCAAAAAACATTTTTAAAAAAATCCGTGCGCAGCGTTTGCACGAGGCCTGCACGGCTGGCCCTCGTTCCTGCCCGCCCTCCCGCACTGCCATGCCTCGCAAGCTCAAGTACCACGAGCAGAAGCTGCTCAAGAAGGTTGACTTTCTCGACTGGAAGCAGGACCGCAACCTCCGCGAGGTGCGGGTGCTGCGCCGCTACCACGTGCAGGACCGGGAAGACTACCACACGTACAACAAGGTGTGCGGGCTCGTGACGCAGGTGTGCGCCGCCGCCGCTGACGCCGCCGCAGCCAGCCGGCCGCCCTGCCGGCCGCCCCCGCCCCCGCAGCAGCTGACTTCCGCTGCTCCCGCCCGCCCAGCTGGTGACCAAACTCAAGGCGCTCGATCAGCGAGATCCGGTGCGAACGGAGCTGACCGATCGGCTGGTCGAGAAGCTCTACAGCCTCGGGCTCATCCCGCAGAAGCGGCTGCTCGCCTGCTCAAAGCTGCCCGCCTCTGCGCTCTGCCGACGGAGACTGCCGGTGGTGCTCGTGCGCAACCGGATGGCGGAGACGGTGAAGGAGGCGGCGGAGCTGGTGGAGCAGGGACACGTTCGGGTGGGGCCGGAGAGCGTGACCGACCCCTCCTTCCTCGTCACCCGCGCGATGGAGGACCACGTGACTTGGGTCGACACGAGCCGCATCAAGCGGACAGTCATGCGCTACAACGAGAAGCTGGACGACTACGACTTGCTATGAGCGTTGTGCTGGAGTGTTCTGAAATGTGTCCTTTATGTTGTGAATTTTCGGTAACTCTGATTGTGGAACAGCGGGCGCGGCCAACGCAGCCGATACCCGTAGCCGTACGTTACGCCACGGTGGGCCGCCCCGCCCCCGGCCGCAGCCACACCCGCTCACCCGGGGGGCGGGGGCACGCGCGCGGGTCCGCCGTGCCCGTGGACCGCCGCCCGGGCGCCCCGCGGGCAAGGACATACACCTCTGTCATCTCATATGGCACATGCTCATAGGTGTGAGGTGTGTGTACACGCGGCGCGCTCTCGCACATCAGCTCAGCGTCCCCGGGAGCATCAGCTGCAAGTGGCGCTCCCTCGGGTCGGCGTCGTAGTCCTCCTCGTTGTATGTGGCCTCGCCTGTGAGCTCGAGCTTCACAGAGGCGCCGTGCCTCACCTTGAAGACGAAGACGCTGCGGTAGCGGCCAGCCTCGGCGGCGTGGAAGTGCACGGAGAGTGGGTGCAACGCGGGCGTCCTCCCGCGCTTTGGCGCGATCGACCCCTCTCGCTGGCCGAGCAAGAAGACCTCGGGCCGGTCGATCGTCTCTGCGGCGAGCTCGGCGGCGCGGCGCGCGGTCATGCCGGGCGGCACGTGCTTGGCGATGGGCAGGTGCTTGCACGACCAATGCACGTCCACCTCGGTCGGATTGCTCAGTTGGAGCTCCACGGCCTGCGGGCAATCGACGTGGTGGACCCCAAAGCTGACAGCGCCGCAAAAGGCGCGGCCCTCCCCGTCGGACCGCGACAGCTGCATAAATGGCTTCGTCACGAGCGCCGCGAGCGGGCACGTCTGGACGGAGCCGTTGGCGAAGGCGATCGCGAGGTCCTCCTCAATCTCTTCGCGAGAGAAGAGGGCGGCGTCCTGCGCGTTCGCTGGCGAGGTGCGTGCAGCGACCGAGGTGCGCTCAGAGCCCACCCCCGTGGCTTGCGACGGCGCCACCGATGACGCATCTTCGTGCTCAGAGAGGGCATCGGCGTCGGAGGCGGCGTTGGGCACGCCCCTTCGGCCACGGCGCTTCCTCGGCGGCACAAAGGAGATGGTGGCGGTCAGCGTCTCCCTCGGTGGCAGCTCGAGCACGGACGCTTCGGAGACCACCGCCCTGAGCCCCTCCTGCTGCACGCGTGAGGCCTGCGGGCACGAGGAGTCGACGCCGCGCAGCACAAACGGCGCCGGCACCGCCAGCGAGAAGCGGAGCACCGACGCCTGCGCGTTGCGCATCGTCAGCACCTTTGTGTAGCACGGCGCATCTTCTGGCCACACAGGCGAAACCTCGAACTGGAGCTTCTCCTCCGAGAGCTCGAGGCCGGGGGCGATGGCGTCCGCGTGCAGCGCCAGCTCGATCGGCGGGTGCTCACTCGTCGCAGCGTCGAGGCCGCGCCGGTCGCGCGCTGCCGGCACCACCGCGTGCGGGTGCGCCAGGTGCGCGACGAGGCGACAGTCGGTGGGCCCAACCAGGGGCGGCGGCGCGAAGGACACGACGAACCTCCCCTCCTTGCCTGGCTCGACCACCGCCGTGCGCGGCTGCACCGAGAAGGCGCAGGGCTGCTCGGCGCCGCCAGGCAGGCTGGCCGCCACCGCGCCCCGCGCCGGGGTGCGCGCCGCGGTGCCCACCCGGAGCTGCACGCGGCCGTCCGAAGCGACGGCGAGCCGCGCGCTGGTCAGCCTGCTCGAATCCGGAGGCTCGTAGACGCCCCAATCGACTGTAGCTGGCTCGGGCCCGTGGTTGGTGAGCCGGATCGTCTTGTGACTGCTGGCCGCCCCGTGCGGCGCCGGAGCCCAAGTCACTGTCGGCGGCGCAGTACGGAGCGACAGCCCGAGCGTCGCGTCATGCAGCCGCACAGGACAGCCGACGACGCCCAAGCGCATCGGTAACGTGAAGTCGGAGAGGCCGTCGACCTGGATCCGGAGCTCGTCGTTGTAGACGCCCCACATATTTGTGTGTGCAACCAGGGGTGCGCAACGTAGTGGCATGTCAATTGTACAACAGTTCATGCCTTTATCTATCCACAAGGAGCTCCCCTCAGGACAGCCACCTCACTCAAGAGTGGGGGCCTGAGATGTCAAAGGTGCGGCTTGACGTCGACCACGTCCCAGCTGGCCCCGACGACCGATATCTTCTCGACGTTGCCGGTGGGGGCGAGGTAGGTGAGAGGCGGGAAGAGGAACTCGCGCTCCGCCGGGAAGGCGGAGAGGAAGGAGATGTCCGGGCCGCGCGAGATGAACGAGTCGGTGACGAGGCGGAGCAGCACGGCGTTCCGGCTGGCCGAGTACTTCATCGCCACCGCAAGCGAGGAGGTGGTCGACATGGGCGCCAGCTCCGTTCCGCCCTGCGCGAGGAACTCGAGCGGCGCACGCACGTCCTTCATGCCGCGGTAGAGGTGCAGCTCGCGCGGCGAGACGCGCGGCGAGGCGAAGCCGCCCTCGTCGGCGCCGCCGCCCTTCGAGCCTTGGTTGGCTTCGACCGCTCTGAGCTTGCCCAGCGCGTCGCGGAGCAGCGCCACCGTGACGGGAAGCTTGTGCGGCAGCTTGTTCTCGTACCGATCGCGGTCGCGGAGCGGGTCGTTGATCGAGCGGAAGGCCGCCGTGGTGTAGAGCCGTAGAGCAACCACGTGGGCCTTGGTCAGCAGCGACTGCCGCGCGCTCGGGTGCGCCACAAAGTCGTCGATCGTCATGCCACGCTGGCCGCCCTTGCCATCCGGCACCAGGCGGCAGGCCAGCACCTCGCCCTCCTCGTCGCAGTCGCGCCTCAGCCCCCCCTGGAAGGCGCGGTCGCTCGAGCCCGCCTCCGCGTCCAGCACGTATTGCAGGCACTCGATGTCAACAGCGTTGGCCGAGGCCGTCACTTCATCGACGATGGCGCTGACGCCGCAGGCGATGCGCGCCCCGAGGGTGCTCTCGTCGACGCACATGTAGTGGCAGATGCCGAGCGCCGCTTCGGCGGGGCGGCCAAAGACCAGGTCGCGGACGCCGACGTTGGCGAAGCGGTTGAAGGCGTCCTCCGATGCGGTGCCGTCGGGAAGGTCCACGCACACCACGTCGCTCGCCCGGTCCGCCCACAGAAGGCGGGACTCGGCGCGCATGCGTCTCGCGAGCTCGCTGACCGTGGGTTCCAGCACGCATATCTGTGCTAAGTCGGCCGAGGTGAGAGCGCTGAGCCGGTCCTCTCTCTTGCCGATGCCCTGGTGCCGTCCAAGCCGCTTCAGCCGTTTCAGCAAGCCGGCTCCGGCGACCGCACTAAAGACGCAAATGGAGCCCAAGCCAGCAGCGATTGACCAGACGAAGCCCGAGTATGCCGGGCCGGAGTTTGGAGTCTGGCCTCGGATGCAGGCGCCGCTATCGATGGCTCCGCAGCACGGGTCCGACACCGGGTCGCAGATGGACACGCTGATTGCCGGCGGGCCGGATGCGAGGCCTTCAACTCCGAGAAACTCGGACGCGTCTTCCGCTGAGGCCGTCTGCTCTTCGATGTTTTGGATCACCGCCTCGCCAATCAGCCCCGTGGGTGCAGATATGATGAAGACGAAGCGAAAGCTCGCTGCTGCGAGCCGCCTTCGACCAGGGACCGCGGCTGCCCGGCTGTCAGTGCTACATGCCGGCGCGGGCGGGGGTGGCGCTTCATACGCTTCGGCCGGAAAGACGAGGACCGCGCGACAAGAGCCAGCAGCGAGGCTGTTGTTGACCTCGATCTCGCGGCACGTCTGCTCTCCCACCTTGACCAGGTCCGCAAGCAGGGTCCCTCGGTCCTCCTCGCACCGCTCGTAGTAGTCGTCGAGCGTGGTGGTGAGCGGGAAGGAGATGTTGACCATTGCCGGGAGGGCCGCGGGGAGACTGGGCGGCTCCGACGGCGGAGAGGGCGGTGGCCGCGGGGGAGGGCTCGGTGGCGGAGGCGACGGAGGGGGCGAGTGCGGCGGCGGCGAGGGTGGCGGCGGTGGCGGCGGAGACGGCGGAGACGGCGGTTCGGGCGGCGGCGGAGAGGGAGGGCGCGTGGTGAAGGTTGAGATGCGCACGTCCGTCACCCCGAGCCCCTCGAATGTGCTTTGCGCCTCCTCCACGGACGCCGGCAGCGCGTTCACCACGTCCTCGACCTCGAGTGCGGTCGGCGTCGTAGTGGTGAAGACGAGGCGTACTTGGTCGGCTTCCCCCTCCTGTAGCTGCCTGCCTCCTCCAGACTCTGGCAAATTCTCAATGCGATAGCGGCAGCTGCCAGCGGCGAGGTTTGCCTGCGCCTCAATCCGAAGGCAGTCGGAACGGCCTGCCTCATCTACCCTCTGAATGAAGTCCGTCCGATCAAATGGCTCCATGGCGGCGAGGTCCTGGGTGGTGACGTCGAGTGGCATCTCGAGTAGCACCGTCGCCGGTAGGTTGGCTGGTAAGCTCGGTGGCGCCGGCAGCGGCGGTGGTGGGAGCGGTGGCGGCGGGGTCGGTGGCGGAGGCGACGAGGGTGGCGGCGGTGAGGGTGGCGGCGGCGAGGGCGGTGGGGGCGACGGCGGCGG